AATCTGGCGACGCAGTTTTCGTGTTTTGTTCTTTGGGCATAAAACGCGCCGACAAACACGGTTAAAGTGGAGACAATCATTTTATTACTTGATTAAAGCTTCCGCTTCTCTTCATTTGCCGTTGGCGACTTTCCGTAAACAGTCATGACAATCGACACCACACTTTTTCCGAACTAGAAATACCCGAATCGTTTCTTTTTTGGGCCGTTCGAGGCATTCTAGGTGAGCGCCACGGAATTTCTTGCTGATTTTGAGGATGTTTATAACTTCATATTCAAATGGTCGAGGTCAGGCGCTCTTTGGTGGACAATACGGCATCCTGATTATCACAGAACGTGACCACAAGTCTCTCGTCTGCCGGAATGGCTTGCCGCGAAACGTCGTGTCCTACCTCGTGGTGAGCGGCCTCTTTGGTCAGTCCTCGAACATGGGTGTAGCCATCCTGATGCAGGGGCGTAGACTTCGGCATCTTGAAGCACCACCTCGCGCACCAAGTTTTCGCGAGCAAAACCAGCCACAGCGAATTCCCTTTTGCAACACGATCGCCCGGCACCAGCCAGCAAGCCGCGCCCGCGACCACTACATGCAATCGAGAGACCGGAACTGCGCGGCCGGGAACGAGGTTTGGCCGCCAAGGGCTTCTTGTTCCGGGAGGAAGGGTAGAAGGGTGGCAAGGGAGGCAACAGAAGGCATAAACGGGCGAGGAGGATAAGTTTGTCTCTGAGAGATCTTCCTCAGTGGGACTGCTTGCTGCGCTTCAAGTCCAACGACAGACAAGAACTCGTCCGTCGTCGATCGTTTGTCGGTGCTTGTCGGCGAATGTCGCGGGTGTTGGTCGTTGCAGTGGGACAGCCTCGGCGACACGGAACTTTGTGGTGTCGCCGGACAAAAAACGGTGTTTGTCGCTCTAGTGGGACGAAGCTATGATGGACTACGGTAGCTCTTCAGATAAGATTTTGTGGAAACATTGCCTTTTCTTATGTTTTAGCGTGTCTTTGTGCTGTGCCCTGCATTACACCGCTTGTCTCTAAAATGAAATAATAGAACCATTCCAATCGTTGCATTGTTCACCACAGCATGCTTAACATACCAGGTGTTTTTTTTTTATTTGCACCATATTTTCAAATAAAGAGCAGCAATATGCCGGTGGGACTGCCCCAAAAGAGCTAGGAAAGGTGCCGAGATTAGTTCTTATTTGCTTCAAGCCTGCCCAGCAGTCCAGGAACAAGGATAAGTTGTGTGAAGAACGAGAACCAACCCACAATCGCCGCCTCTGTGGGAAGCAGAGACAAGTGATTTGATAGATCTGCTACTGCGAAATTATTGATTATTATTTCATCACACATGGATGCTACAAACTACTGGGATTGCTTTTTGAGCGGCTTCACATTAAAACTACAACGGCTCCTAAATCATGTAGTCACAATGGTAGCACTGCTACTCTGCAGGCCTACAAGTACCTGTTAGTTTATAGGGTATATGAGGTATGGGTATGAGGTCAGACAGAAGCGTCTGACCGGACATAGTGAGTCGGGAGTGGCCTCCAGTTACAACAGTCGATAACCCTGTACCTGCAGTTTACCCTGAGCCAATGCTCAGGGTAAACTGCAGGTACAGGGTTATTGACTGTTGTAATTGGAGGCCAGTACGGGTAAACTGCAGGTACAGGGTTATTGACTGTTGTAACTGGAGGCCACTGCCGACTCACTATGCCAGGTCAGACGCTTCTGTCGCATCCGATGGATTGTGCAGCCCTTGGTTGCCATAGCACCTGATATTAGCACTCTTTTGCAGGCGGTCCTAGCGCAGGCGGTCGTAGCGCTAAACCAGAATTTAGCCTTCATGCTTTGGCCTACACAGTATACATTGCTAGAAGTCAAATTTGGGGGTTTTACGTGCCAAATGAACGACAGGCATCTGGCACGCGCCAGCGGAGGACTGAGGATTATTTTGGACCACCTACGGATCTTTTTGACGTGCAACCGAAAGCTCGGTCACACGGTGCCTTCTCCGCAATAAGCCTCCGTCAGATTGCGGGCATCTCGGCCGGGATTCGAACCCGCCACATGGGGATCCGTAGGCCAGCGCTCTTGCCCCGGAGACACCGAGGCGGCGTATACATTGCTGCATGCCACACCATTCCCTCAACATATAATATTAAGGGGACTCCAACCTATGCTAGAAACAATGCATGACAGTAACTTTTGGTATTATGGGACGCCACGGCTCTTGCCCATGCCCCATCGCTTTTGTACAGCGCTGTTATACGTCTTCTTTCCGGGTGCTGAACTACAACCCAAGGTACAGACTGTATGGTTCAAATCGCTAGCCAGCTTTTAACTGGCTCGTGCTGGTGCTGGTGGCCTGTAACGTTGGCTCTGGTCCAGTGTAGTGTGAGGCAAAGCATAGCTGGGTGCACTATTTTGAAAAAGTTAGGTTGGTATACAGTATGCAGGCCACAGATTGTGCAGTTAGGATGCTCGGGTCAAGCTGCAGCCGGGATTGAGTTGTGTTAGGAGAAATTTTGTTGTGGCGTGATATCGATGTGTTGTCTTCGCTGTTTTGTCATACACAGGTGCCACTAGTTGATGAGATTGCAGATGATGCCGAGGTGGTTGTCTCGTGGGACCAGGACGACGACAATGACGATATGCCTCACGAGGACTGCACCATGCCTGGAAGTGGCAATGAATCTGCGCTGGCTCATTCCCCAGGCTCGCAGAGTGTGGGCCTGACTGATGGTGCAAGCCCCAGCAGCAGCTACTTAACCACTAGTGGCAGCAGCGGTACAAGTACTAGCTTTGCCACGAGGAAAAACAAAAGCCGAAAGCGGCCAGCTGCCTCCCTTATGCAGCAGCTCCTCACCATGCATTCCGAAGAGACAGAACGAGCTGCAAAAATGGAGAAAAAAAGGCTGAAGAGGCAGAAGGAGCTGCTGTGGCTGCAAAAAGAGTCAAACGATATGCAGGCTAGCATGCTTCGAATGATGGAAGCATACTTTGAATCGAAAAAAAAATAAAAAGTAGGGCTATGTTGCCAAAGGGTCGCAAGACGAGCTAAACTTTTGGGACTATAACGAATGGGATTTCTGACGCTAAAGCTTGCGCCCACTCGCATGCACCATTTGTTAAAGATTGCGGTTGGTGCGCAGCCGTCAGGAGCAGACGAACGCTCATGATTGTAGCGCCTTTTGCTGTTCCTGCAGACTTGGGGAAAACTGGGATAACGAAAATATCCTTGTTTTTTTAAGGTTATGGCAATGACTCAATTTGATGGATGAAAGGTGTACAAACATTCTTGTGGGAAAGCTGGGTGGCTATGAAGTTCTCATTACTCTTGGAACATCAGGTTCTCTGATGGCAATACACGAGGGATGCATTAATAGCAGCTACTGAGTGTTTGTTTGGTCCACAGGCTGACATATTTAGCACGGATGAACAACACTCTTCCACATGAGGCCACAACGTAACTGCACTCAATGGGTCGTCTCCATTGTATCTTGACAAGAATGTCGTTAAAACTGGTCGTAGAATCAGTGAAACGCACCTTAAAAAAATATTTGTCGTTTGTCGTATCAAGTGCACCTTGACTGTAGTGCAAGAGCAGGTCAGCAGTTGTAGGAACCCATCTTGACAGTGGTCTGCCCTGCTGACGCAATTCTTTACATTGATTCGTTTGTAATAAACTTTCTCTCGAATCGAGACGCCCCTGGCGCCTTGATTCAGTGAGAAGATTCCACGAAATGAATTCTGGATACCAGTTAGCACCTTAGTTTCGGTTTCAGTTTCAGATATTTGCCATAATTATTGTGACCTGACGAAACTTGCTGCTTGTGTTTTCGCGGCCGAGGCATTTTGCACGAGTGCAATACTGTATGCGTTTCCAAGCAATTTCAAAAAGCGCTGGCCACTGCATTACTGGTTCCCAGCTTGCCAGATTTCGGGCAAAAGTAAGCAAACTTAAAACACTGAAGTACAAGCGTCCCGGCTTGCCGGCCTTGGTCAGTCATAACGACGGACAGACATTCAAAGCAAGCCACCCAGCCACTGACAAAGGCCTTGGAGATGGTGTCTGCTCTAGTGTTGGGAATCTGGACGGCTGCTGGCCACCGTGTATACCAATCTATGCAGGTGAGCAAATAGGTTGATCTTTGAGATGGTGATAGGGACACCACTATGTCCGTGAGCACATGCTTAAAACATGCGTTAAGCAGCGGGAGTGACTGAAGCAGCACACTTATGTGTCAGTCTACGCACATTGGCACTAAACAAATCTGCAAGTCCTGAGATGAACATCGGCATTGATTGTGGGTCAGGCGTAATGCTCAAGAGCCGCTGCATTGCTCGGATGCCAGGGTGGCTTGAATTGTGAAGGAGGTGAAGCAGTGCACTTGTAATTAGATTGTACATATGTTCGGGGAATGTTACATGTGCTGCTGTTAATGAAATATGCATGCAGAGTTGGACAAGCTGCAATAATGACGACTTTGAAAAGCAGTCAAACCAAAAACCTTGTACCAAGAATAATTCAGATCTCTATTATGCTTTGAATATATGTGAGACTCCCCAGATCATTTCCTTTATGCATGTTCCTTCGTCCCAGTTTGAGTGTTGACCATGGCGGGTAATGCTACAATGATCACAATGTGGAAATATACTCAAGTCATTAAAAAAAAAGTATATTCATTCACAAAAAAATCAAGTCGCAAAATCAGGATTTCCACGGAACACTTTAAGATTTAGACCTACCTTGGTTCCAAAGCGGCCACGCTTTGCTGTGGCCGCTTTGGAACCAAGGTAGAGAGAGTAGTGCGGCTGCGTCTCTGCTCTGCTCTCTGCACCTTGGTTCTAGGAGCGGCAACCACGTAGCATCACGGTAGACTCCAATGATACTTGCCGCACGCTCAGATATTCCCTCTCATACAGTTCGCGATAGTACCATCTCAAACAGCACAACACAGCAGGGCCGCACAGGCACAGAAGCCAGCCATACCAAACTGTTCAGTTTGCGGAAAAGTATTTCGCAAGGGCATTCCTAACTTCCACTCCTGATGGCTCCTCCACGCTGGTGAAGCGGACTGGCTGGGGCCGATTCTTGTCGTCGCTCTGCACCGTGTCGAGCCAGTTCTTCTCACAGCGATCATTTAGCTGCTCACATATGTTGTGGAGCACACAGCACGCGCGAACAATGGTGTTCACACTCTCGATGTCCGATTCCAGTCCCTTGTGAAGGATTCGAAACCGCGCCTTGAGCCGACCAAATGCGTTCTCTACGACTCTCCTGGCACTGGAGAGACGGTAGTTAAAAGCCCGTGTGGGGGACCCAACACTACCAGGCTGAGGGAAGGGTTTCATCATGTGGCACTGCAGAGGGAAAGCCTGATCTGCGAGAAGGACAGGGCCAACAGAGATCCCTTCAAAGGTTTTGGCTTCTGACCGAAACAGATCGCCAGCCAGGACGCCCGGAAGCCGTGAGCGCTGGAATACAGCTGAGTCGTGATTCCTCCCAGGTGATCCAACGTTTGTGTACAGGAACCTGTATGCGTGGTCGGCTACAGCCAAAAGAATGGTGGAATACCACCCCTTATAATTATGATAGTCTGAGTCATGATCCTTCGGAGGGCACACCTCGAGGTGGCAGCCGTCCAAGGCGCCCACCCCTTGAGGGAAGCCTGCAACTGCTGCAAATTGGCGCAGGTGTTCAGCCAAGTCATTGGGTCGAGGGAACTTGACAAACCGTGGTTCAATGCGCTGCACCAGAACTTCACAAAATTCTCTGAAAATGATGTTGACGGATGACCGGCTGACGCCGAAAAGATTTGCGACAGTTCTGTCTTCTGCCGAGGTCGCCAGGCGATACAAGGCAATAGCCACACGCTTCTCCAGAGGGATAGCTTGACGCATGTTGGTGTTGTTTCGTCTCATACACTCGCATACGCTTACTACGTACCGGAAGGTGCTGCGGTCTAGGCGGAAGTTCTCCCTAAACGTGCTCTCAGGAAAGTACGGGAGCGTTGTCTCGTACCAAGACCTGGCACGGGGATACGCCCACACATGCCGCTCGCGGGAGCAGAGTCGCGCAGCCGCTAGCACAAGCCGGTTGCGCCGTCTCTCAGCGCGTTTTTGCTCTGAGAGCAGTTCGTCGATCTCGGCGAGTACACTTTGCTCCAGCATACATCGCCGTTGAAGCACGGCTTGATGAGCGGCGAACATCGACCAGAAGTTGCATTCGTCCTCATCGTCCAGCACAGGATTGTTGAGAGTGCTCAACGCCATTCCACGTTACGGCGTGCAGATGCAAACCTCACTGACGGAGGGGAACACAATACACAGCAACGTGGCTCCGACGAAGATACGAAGCACGTGAGACCAAAGCGACAGAAACAAAGCCGGTCAATGGTCAACCTGAGCTACCCTGCCTGAGCGAACCGGAAGCCGGAAGCGATGGATTGTTTCGGCTGTCGTGTCGGCTAACCAATTTAAAGCAGTCGATCACTACCAGTGTTAGCAGGCTGACTTTGTATTTTACCGAAAGCTGAACAGCTAAACGAACATATTTGACCACGAACTGTCTTAAATAACCACAAACTGATTATAACCTGAATCAACTTTTGAAACTAATGTTTTTTTTTTTAAAGTTCAGTCGCATAAATCATGAGTATATCTTCGCCTGGACGGCAACCACGTGATCGTCCACATAGGCTGACTGAGAAGAGGACTTCCGTGTAACACACGCGCACCGCGGTTACCGGTAACTGCAGTTAGCGCCCGTAACCATAGTTTGCCGTAACTGCAGTTAAGGGTGCCCGTGTAACTAGGGTATTCCACTTTTTCTTTCAAATTTCATTTTCAGTCTCAGGATTTTGCGTCACGATCAACATACACGAGCTCGCCTGCACCTTGGCAATTTTGCAGTTTGTAATTGCTCTAGATGTTTATTTTCCGGGACGGAAGAAACGCCGAGCAAAACGCGCAGAAGCCGACACAACTCGGGGTCGAGGAGCGTTCTACCATACCAGTGACGTCAGAAAAGTAAAAACTGGGGACAAAAAAAAAAAAAAAGGGGGGGGGGTGTTTTGGACTGTTAAAGAAAACAATACGGGGAAAGACGGTGTGGTCGAGCTTATTTTAATCTGAAATTATTTATGCATATGTATAGCTACTGTCATCCTTCACAGCATAAAAGATCGCGCAGATGGTCGTTGTTAGAAACTCGTCACTACTCGTCACATGCTCAATGGTTCGGAAGTTCAAAGCTATGTCTTTGCAACCTATATAACTATGGCAATAATAATATGAATAAAAAAATGAAACATAACAATAAATGCGGAAATAAAAAGCTGGCGAGAAAAAAGAAACTATCAAGAATCCGCCGGAAGTGTTGTATTCTTGCAGATTCAGAGGCCCAGAACTACGAAACAAGTTTCTCCTACCAAAATGTGTACAGGCTAAAATAAACACGTTCCAAAAACGTAAAACGACAAAAAAAAAGAAAAAAAAACTAAAAATTATTATTTTTTTTAATGACGTGCTGAACTTTAACAGTATTACAAACCTTTCCCCATGAGTTAATTTATTCCTGAACGTGAAAAAACAATAAATGCATCATTTTGTATTCTGCAGATGGCAATAATATGTACTGTCTGCGGTGTTAATTTAAATGCGAGACGAAAACAATTACCGAGTTTAGGGCATAATCGCCCGTAGATACATGTTTGGACATTTCTTCGAAACTCATCTTGAACAGCAATATTCTTACCTAAAGACGACACTTACCTAGGCTATACATAGATAAGTCTTAAAAAGTTTAACATCTGTACCATACAGAGCTTCGGCTATAACGTGCTTCAAATATGGAACGAACGACAATTGTCAAAAACCCGTCGTCCTTGCTTGCTCCTTCGGGAATTTATTTCTTTAAAACCAAGCATGCCAGATGATTGAAATAAGCGGCATTGTCTTTCGCAAGGAATGCGGCACCGCATGTCGAAATTTGAAAAAAGAAATTACGAATGTACATCGTACGGCTTGAATCCAAATGAAACCGCCCGCCCGTCTTTCGAGGTTCGACGAACTTGAAACTTTTACCCTAAAAGTTCGAAGTTCTTCGAACTTTTGATTTTTCAGGAATCGAAAGTTCGAAAATTTTAGAATTCTTAAGATAAATAAATTCGAAAGTTCTTTGATAGGATGGATGCTTGGGCGTGTTGGTGAACCATACTTGACGGTGACAGCGCAGGGAAGACCAACCTCACACCAGACACTCGGGAAGACAAGCGCGTATGCTTGTCTTCCTGGGTGTCTGGTTTGAGATTGGTTTTCCCTGCGCTGTCACCGTCAAGTTCGAAAGTTCGAAAATGATCGAATTTCTTAGCGTAGGGAGTTCAAAAGTTCGAAAAGCTTCAACCATTTTAGTGGAAGAAATTCGAAAGTTCGAAAATCATCGATTTTTAGTCTATCAAGTTCGAAAGTTTGACAAGCATCCAATTTCGCAGCGTAATAAGTTCGAGAAGGATCGAACTTTTTAGCGTAAAAAGTTCGAAGGTTCGAAAAACATTGCGTTTCTGAACGTTTAAAGTTCGAAATTTCTAAAGCGTCGAACTTCTTAGTTTAACAAGTTCGAAAATTCGATTTCCGTCGAATTTCTCGATATGTAAAGTTCAAAAATTTGAAATATTTCGAACCGCATGAATCGATCATCGAACCTTCGGTTCGAAAGGAGTTCGCGGCATCCCTAATCATAACTCATAACCTGTACAGACGCTTGTGTGCCGAACAAATCACTTAAATAGACCCCGCTAGTATTCGTACCCGTGGCGACGCCTCGAAAAGGCGGGAAGACCTATTTTCCGTGACGTTCAAGCGTAACATCAGAGTAGGCTCGTAAAGGCCGGTTCACACATCTGCGTTCCGATATAAAGGAACGACAGAAACGACACGAACGACATGACACCGGGACCACCGTGACACATGATTGCTTGATAAAGCTGCTCTCTGCCATCTCTGTCACGTTCTGTTATGCGAACAGAATCGTGCCGGTGTGATGTCGTTCGTGTTGTTTCTGTCACTCGGAACGCAGATGTGTGAACCGGGCTTGAGGTAATAGACCGACCCACCGCCAGTTTCGCTACGCCTCCTCCGGCGTAATGCATTGCGGGAAGTGTAGCCTTTCCGCACGAGGGTCAACGCCGCTGTAGGCTTGCGAGTGTCGATCACGAGCCGTCTCGTGCACTACCGCTGCCTCCTGTGAAGTACAACTATATATATGGCTGCGTCACGCACGCTCCAGACGGTTGGTGAGGGGGGAGGGGGTTGTATAAAACGGGAAAAGGGGTTTAATGCCTATGCAGATTGTTATCCTCCAGGAAGGGGGAAAGCAAGATGAGAGAGGGGTTTGTTAAAAATAGTTGGCCGCAAATATGCGGAAGGGTGCCAATCGATCAACGTACGTGAGGGAAAAGTTGGAGAGGAAATGTAGAGCGTTGGGCAGATCAGCTCATGGGAAACACCGACGCGCGCAATCTAGCTGGTAGTTGTGTCTCTTTCAAGACTCATATGAGTCACACAGGTCTGTCGCGTCGCCGCGAAGCGGCGGCGCGATTAAGTTCGCGTTTCACGGCTACCACAATTCTCATTGTGGTAGCCGTGAGAGTGTGTGAGATCGGACTATTGGTCAAAGCGAACGGCGAGCTCTGGTTTTCATTTTTTGTCGGGAGGTGTTTACAGATATTCCGTTTTTCTGGTTGATAACAAGAACCTATTGATATGTCGGCCTGAAATGTTCACTACAGTACACACGAATGAGCACTGTTGAGCACTATATAGATAGGATTACGCTTCCAGCGAGAGCTCCAGCACGTAGAATCGGTCAGCAGCCCAATGGCAAAGAAGACGACGTAGGCGATAGATCTCCGCCAGCTCCGACTCTACACACTACAACTATGTAGATACCTTGTTCATCGACTCTTATAGACTACCGAAACCGACAGGTTAACCTCTATGTCTCACTACCTTTTTCGGAAAACTTGCAAGACGAGAATGCGAAACATCAGTGTTGGTATTTTGCGTGCATTGCTGGCCACAAAATAAGCCTTACATAACTCTACAAAAAAAAAAAAATGGTATACGAGGACACCCCCGCGTCGAGAAACACTCCTTTAGAAAAAGTTTGGAACGATTATGCATCTCGCGAGCTTCGAGTGTGCACGCAGCCAAGAGCACGACAGAAAGCAGCAATTACGTCCGGCCGTCTGGCTGTCAAGTGCCGAGCCTCAGCTTCATAGGGCACGCTTTTTACGTAAAGAAATAGCCGCTAGACAGGCCGATCACGCGCCCGTACAGCCAACCGTATCCAAAAGAACGCCTCGCCGCACGCACCACTCCAGCAACGTAAGCGCACAGCGCACTGCGTACAAAGAGTGAGGAGCATTTGCGCTTGCACCGCCTGCGCCCTGTCCGTAGCGGACACCACGGTAGTGCGCTGCGAACATGCGAAGAACGCGAGACGCCAAGAAGCCGCGTCGATGAAAGAGAGAGAAAGAGAAATGTCGTCTAAACGTCCGAGTAAAAAAAAAAAAAAAAAAAGACGTGTCGACGAAATGTAGCAAACTCTGTCAAGCATCGAATGTCGAAGAAACGGTCTGCCGATGAAACATCGCAGTGTCAATGAAACGATGTGTCTATAAAACCTTGTTCGATGAACTGCGCGCCAAGAATGGCGCGGCTTGCCACATAAAAAGTGGCGCACCCTACGTGATCGAGTGCGCGACAAAGAGACACACGGAGACGACCCCAAACCCCCGATCCACTCTAAACCAAATTAAGCAAAGCCATGCCAAACCAATCCAAGGACCGCTGCACGTATCAAGATAATAAATGCTGACAGTATTTTATAAAGGCCGAGATGACTGAAAAACAATGTCGGCTGATGATTCCTTAAATCGCAGCCTAGTGCGGCAAGCACGGTCGATCAACAAAAGCAGAAGTAGCTCGAGTAAGAAGGAAAACTCGGCCTCCAACGGTCTCTGCTCATAGAACAGCATACGACTGACGGACACCACAGAACTGCGGAACCCCTCACCCAACACATCCAACAGGGATTATGGTGAGATTTCAAACCAGACGGACGTCACCCTACCTAACAATACCGCCCCCCCCCCCAAAAAAAAAAAAGAGAGAGAAAAAATTTGGTCAGTGCATATATTTATTATATATATACTGCATAAACTTCCGTAGAATTACGTGTGGGTGGCACACGAAAAAAGAAACGGGATGAA